AGGTTTGAATCCCTCAAATAGCATCGTATAATGAAAAAAAACATATATCATCCTTATCTAAACAAAACTAATTAGTGATTACAATACTACTTGGTGGTAAAGTGGTAGCACATGAGAAAGTTAATTTCTTCCCAAAGCTCCCCATCCTATATCTATAAAGCCTACTCTTTCGAATTTCTTCATCAAAATTTTGCAAATAACCCTTCAGCTTCAAGGAAATTGCCAAGACAACATTGTACTCCACGCTCAGCTCAACCTTCCTCGGTGTACTAAAAAATTGGATTCAAGAAATATGCAACTGCATAGAGGCTATGTCGAAGATGCTTCTCCCATCTCGCATCAATCATCCTCACATGAACCCCTTTCCATTACCTATAAAAGTGTCATTGATGGTATTCTTAACCCTAATTATTCCATCAAGAACATACCCGAAAGATGGTTGTTTATTAGAATCAACAATCCTCAACAATTTCACAATTGGTAATGTCAAGTTAACCATTATGAAACACTCTTGCCAACAACTGTTATCCAACAAAATAAACTTGATGTGTTTCCCTTCATTACTTTTTCCAAACTTGTGAGGTGCAAAGTCGGCGCGTGCTTCATCGATCACTGCACCAGCTCCCATGCAACGTATGATCAACTGCCGTCGGTGATCAACTCGGCATCGAAAGTATCTGGAATCTACAGATTATCAAATTGGAAGGGGAAGGGTCGCTTCGTTACCCTCAACAAAACTACTCGTGATTGCCAAGGACCCACGACTTCCAATTCATCGATTACAGGGGCTAAGTCAACAGTTGCTTCATCGATCACTGCACCAGCTCCCATGCAACATATGATCAGCACGAAGACCCCCCTTAAACGGCAGTGGATTAGAAAGGAAGGTCCAATTTGGTTTCATAACTCTATTTCTATGGCTGAGCTTGAACCCACCACTGATGTAGGGCCGATTATCAAAGCCCAATATCGAAATGTTGAATCTCAAAGTGGGCCTGTAGCTAATCCACCCTTGCTCCTTGGGCCAATTTTCAAGCTACCCTCCCTATCAGTTCTCATTTCTTCATCTCCCATTCCAAATCCCATCGGTGGTTTGCACGAAAGGTGTAACCAGTGGCGGACCTAAGGCTAGTAAGGGTGTGTCGTCCGACACACCCTCGCTCGAGAATTTTGCGAAGAACCTATATATTTTTGGTACAAAATTTTTTATTTCGGAATAGCCGACACACCTTTAATAATTATAGCCGATACACCTTCATTATAGTCGAAGAATTTATTATCCAAATGAATCAATATTAATCATAATCCATTTTAATTTTGTTTAAAATAAATAAATCATAATCCTATCACTTCCTATTAAAAAAAACAGACTCTCAACCCATACAATATATATGTGTGATGTGTGTTGGGTCTGGGCCTATAACTAAAAGAGAAGAAAGAAGAAAAAAACCACAGGCCAAATGGCCAATAGCCAAGGCTGACACTCTTTATCCTTTAGTTTACTTGCTGGTGAAGTTGGTGTTGATTTTACCTGTTGCAACTGCAAGCTGCGAAAGAGTATTTTCAGCTATGAAGATAATCAAGAACGATCTTCGAAATTGGTTGAGTGACCAATTTATGAATGATTGTTTAGGTGTGTATATTGAAAAAGATTTGCTTTGCAGCATAAGTGATGAATGTATTTTAGAGACATTTCAACATATGAAAAGTCGTCGCGGTTCGTTGTAAATATGACATTGTGGACTTTATGAATTAATTTCCTTTAATTTCTACTTAATTTTTTAATTTAATTTAATTTAATTATTATTGAATTTTATCGGCGACACACCTCTCCGACAATCCTGGGTCCGCCACTGGGTGTAACCACTTAACCTCCATTAACCTTCATCAATTCACTTTCACTTCACATTTAGCCTCACTCCTCAAACACTTATCCATCCATCCCCAGGACCAGGAATTGGGATTTTAACTCTTACCCCTTTGATGAAATCACCCTCAAGTCTAGAAGCCTCGACCTAGGTAGAAGATTCAATTTGATTTCGCAGGAGAATCCAGAGCAGGATGAGAACGTCATTTCTGAAGCATCAAGAACTACACACGGAAGGAAGATTCGTACCTCCCGGTCTAAACTGGAGATGGAAACGTTCAGACTTGGGCCCCTGGTGCCTCCTCCGTCAGGACCGAGGCGTAGCAGAAACAAATCTCAAGGTTGGGATGACATCTCTAATGCAAATTAATGGGATTATCCATTTTCATCTAGAATGTTAGAGGCCTGGATAATGAGGAGAAGAGAGATAGAATCAAATATATTTTGGGAAGAAAAAAACCAAAATATGTTGCGCTCATTAAAACAAAATGGAGTACCTGCAGTATTGAGCAAATTTCTAGCATTAGTGGTTCTCGTGATGTGGGTTGGAAGGCTAAAGAAGCTAGCGGAAGCTCGGGGGGTATCGCCGTTTTCTGGGACAAGGTTTTCTATATGGAAGTCAAAAATTTTGTTGGGTCTCACTTTATCTCTATGGATTTCGTAGATATTCCTAGCTCCAAATTCTGGACTCTTGTGGTTGTTTATGGTCCCCAGAATAGAACTGAGAAATTGAGGTTTATATCTGATCTTGAGGCTTATTGCAGCCAACTCCAGAATCCGTATTGTTTGGCTGGTGACTTCAACTTGATTAGAAGCCATGATGATTATGTTGGGGCGGATAGGAACTCAGACTTGATGAACGAATTCAATGAAACTATAGACAATCTGACTGTCCTCGAACTTCCTTTAAATGGGAGTCGTTTCACTTGGAGCAATGGTTGGAGCAATGCTTCTCTTTCGCGGATTGACATGGTATTTGTCTTAAACGACTTCAACAATATGTTCCCAGATTGTAATCTGGCTGCTTTAGAGAGGGTTGAGTCAGATCATAATCCTCTCTACATCTCATGGGGTGAATTTGCATTGATAAAAAGACCATGAAAATTCGAAAACATGTAGTTGGAAGATGAAAGATTCTTCAAAAGTGCTGAAGTTTGGTTCAAAGCCCCTGTTTTAGGCAAGGGTGCTGTTTTTTGTGGAGTAAACGACTGATCTTTCTCAGCAGTATAAAGTAGTTCGATTATAAGGAAGATTGTTTGAACCTCCAGGAATTTGAAAGAGTTGAGAGAGAGGAGTTGAAACTTAAGCTGCAAAACACTCTCAACCTACAGGAGTTGTCTTGGAGACAAAAATCCAGGGAGTCGTGCCATAAAAAAGGAGAAAGGAATACCAGGTACTTCCAAAGGATTGCAAACTATAGAAGAAAAGTGAATTTCATTAGTCGTATCCAAATTGATGGCAGGTTTATTGAAGGGAAACATGCCCTAGGTGAAGCAATTGCCAATAAGTATAAACTCCTATTTCAAGAAACTATCATTGAAAGGCCCTTCCCCAAAGACTATCTTGAAAGAACCCTAGATGAAGATGACTGCAGACTTTTGACTTTACAATTCACAGAAAAAGAAATCTGGAGTGCAATTAGTGCTTGTGACGGATTCAAAGCTCCGTGGCCAGATGGATTCACGCTGGACTGCTATAAGAAATGTTGGCCTCAATGCAAAAAGATATATTGTTGGCTTTTGAAGAGTTCCATAGCAACGGGTATCTGCCGGACAGCGTCACACACGCATTCATTTGTCTCACTCCTAAGGTGGATGTGGTGGAAAGCGTTAAGGATCTTCGCCGATTTGTCTTATGAACGGTTTTCATAAAATCGTGAGTAAAGTTCTCATGAAAAGGATGAGTATTGTTCTCCCAAAGTTGATCTCCCATAACCAGCATGCTTCTGTCATTGGTAGACACATTTAGGAGGCTGCTCTAATTGTGAATGAAGCTATTGACAGTAGGAGGAAATCCAAAAAAACTGAGGCTCATCTTTAAACTAGATATCGAAAAAGCCTTCGATAATGTTAGCTGGGATTGTCTATTCAAAATTATGAGAAGTGTTGGGTTCCCGGTGAAATGGCAGCAATGGATCAAGGGCGACATGTGTTCTCCGGTGACCTCAATCTTAGTTAATGGAGAACCTCATGGTTACTTTAGATCGGCAAAGGGGGTCAGGAAAGGAGAACCTTTATCCCCTGTTCTTTTTGTACTTGTCATGGATATGTTGTCTTTCCTGATTTCTAAACATCGGGAGGTTGGAGGGATCTCGGACTTCTTTATGGACGAACACAGGGGAGTTGGTGAAGTCACCCATCTCCTCTTTGCGGACGACTCCCTCATTTTCTGTGATGCCTCGGCGGAACAGGTGGTTAATATTCTTGCAGTGCTGGTCTGTTTCCAATCTATCACAGGGCTGAAGATTAATTTGGACAAATCAACAATGTTCACTGTGGGGGACATTCCGGAACCCAATTACTTCGAAGCGATCCTTGGGTGCAAATGGAGTAATGACCCATCGAAATACCTTGGATTGCCGTTAGAACATCGCCCAAATGCAGCTGCAATCTGGAATCCTGTTGTGGATAAATTCCAAGGTAGATTACAAGGATGGATGAATAGACACCTATCTCTTGGAGCTAGACTGCCTCTGAACTATTCTACTTTGAATAGCCTGTCCATCTACCATTTATCACTCTTTAAGGCCCCAAAGAAGATCATCAATCAACTTGAAAGAATCCAAAGAAGATTTCTTTGGAGTGGAACTAGTTGCAATGACAAGCTGCACTTGGTTCGTTGGGATGTTTGTAAAGCTCCTAAAAAGAGGGGTGGTTTGGGTGTTGTTGACCTTCTTAGTTTCAATAATGCTCTGCTTGGCAAGTGGCTGTGGAAGTATGCTACGGAAAGGAACAGCTGGTGGAGGCAACTCATTGCAATGAAATATCAAAACCTTCGCTCTGAATGGAAACCTAGAAGGCTGGATGAAGGTTTCAGTAGCTCGGTTTGGGCTAACATTTGCAAGGTGGGCGACTTGTTCTGGAAAGGGGCATGTATTGAACCAGGTTCAGGTATTGGAATCTCGTTGTGGTATGATACTTGGATCCCAGGAGAGACGCTGGATGACTTGTTCCCGCAGGCTGCTGCTGCTTCCAATCCGAACTCCAGTCTTGCAGACTCTATTCACAGGTTAGGTGAGATTGTTGTGTGTTATATCCCTTTTTCAATTAACTTTAGGGGTGGGGCAGAGAGTGAGAGGGTGAGATGTGTGGAAAAAGTTAATTCTAACTCTCATCGGATATCGATAGGTCCCGGTCGTATGGTTTGGAATCTTAGTTCTAATAAGACCTTCTCCGTTAGTTCTATGTATAAATTGCAGGTTGATAATATGTTCAATGGTGTGGAAGATTTTCCTGCTCAGTCTGTGTGGAGGAAGATTATTCCCACAAAGATTTGTGCATTCCTGTGGCTCGTGTGGCACAAGAGGATTTTGACAATGGACAACTTGAAGAAAAGAGGATTCAACTTGGCAAACCGATGCGAATTGTGTTTCAGTGAGGAGGAATCTATCAACCATATTTTCATCAGTTGCTCGTTTTCCAAGAATGTACAGGGAGAGCTGTCGTGTATGTCTCCGAGAACGGGGTTCGATTCTGAAGATATCTCTGTCGTCATCAACTTCAATGAGACTCGTGATCCAGATGATGTTGAAGGTTGGTTCAGACAGTTTCCTACACGCCTACTGCTGGTATATATGGAAAGAAAGAAACCAGAGAATTTTTCAACAAGTCTCTTGCCCGCATAAGATGGTCTCTAAGAAGATTGTTTGTGCAATCATTGAATGGACGACGACTCATGGGAGAATCAGCAAAGAGCAGGGGAATCTGCTTTTCCAACAGTTTTGGAACGACTGATTTGGCTTCTTTGCTACACCTTGTAGCCTTTCCCCTGCTTATGCTTCTGTAATTCCGTTTCTTTTTTTTATTCTGCCTCCCTTCCCCTGCCCTGCTCTGTTTGGGTCTTCACCTTCCCGTTCAGCTTCTTCCCTTTTGTTCTTTCCTTTCCTTCCACCTCTGGTGGGAGTTTGTACTGGACCTCTTTCCTTTTTAATTTTAGTTCATCATCATTATCAAAAAAATAAAAAAATGAAACTAGTAGCAAATCGAGTAGCTCATAGATGCACAATCTGTTTCCAACCCTCTATCTTCTTCAAAAAGATAGGAAAAGAAGATGACTATAGACAAACACAATAATCTTCAGAGCTCGAGAGACTAAGCTTGAAACATGTTTCAGTTTGTAAATGTCTTTCAATAAAAGATTGAGAACATGTGGCATACATGGAGACCAAAATATTGTTACATTTCATGAATTAGCTTTCCCATAGCAACATTATCAATGACAAAGTGCACAACATTATCAAATCAATCACACCATCAAACAACTCAGCCAAATTCTTAGCATCCTTAACTATGTCCAATGCATCCACAGATTTGATGAAACACACCCTTTGTGTAGTATACTAAAAAGTTAATCAATGATATTTGGCTCATATTAGTCCAACCATCAGCCATCTAGGTGCATCCAGTAACTTTCCAAGTTCCACTATAATCATGTATAATCGAAGTGCATTCTAGTTTGACTTCTCTCAGCAAAGGCACTCTCAATTGGTGATAAGAAGGTACCTTATATCGAGGGCCAATTGTAGCTAATGCATCAAATGACATCTGATAATAATCTGAGTGTGCAATGAGCCTTTATTAGACCTAGTTTATGTTTTTATACTCTTTGATACCTTCTTCATATATTTTTTTTTATTATTTTCAAGGTACAAAGCAACCTAAGGAAACGTGGATCGAGCATTGAAGAACTCTAGAGGACCAAAGGAGCTACAAAGAGAAGAATATGGAGATTTAATGAAAAAGACTAGGTCCAATGATGGAAAAGTCTACTAGAAAGCACTATGTGAGCCCAAGAAAAGTCCAATAGAGTAAGACTCGACCCAAATTGAAGACGAAACCAGCGGCAGCCCAACAACTAGTCCTACCATTGCCGGAGGGGACCTGGTCAAGTTATGTCCAAATGATGAGAAGAGGTCATCCATCGGTCAAGGAGTCCAACACACAAAGGAAAAGGACAGCGGTTCCAATTGTTGCTCGTGCCTTAAGCTTCTAGAAGCCTTCTTGAAGAAGTTACTTAGTCCACAAGGAGTAGGAAACCTCTTTCCAGTCAATCTATGTGAGTTTTAGCAAAGATATTTTTCTATAAATAGGGGGCATGTCTCATTAGTTCATGAAGGCTGCACAACTACACTCAAACTTCTGTATACTTTGCTCGAGTAAGAGCTTACTTTTCGTAAGAGAGTCTGCATCTAGAGAGATGATGTAGTTTTTTTATGGTTGTGCCTCCTTCTTTTCTATGTTGCTTGTTCAAAATTGATTGTATTTGGATATGAACTCTTTTATGATTATATATACATTGATACTATGATTTTTTGTCATGTTTATGTTTATGCTTGTGGATTTTCATGCTTATAGTGTATGCATGGATGCTTGGTTTTTTATGTCTATGTGATGATCTTTGTTGTTCATTTACTACGAAAGCATTTTCCCCCTCATCGATGCTTATGATTCTATAGTATGCTACTATATGCATTGTGCTCAGTATCATCGAGGTTGTTAAGAAATTACCCTATAGTGATTCCCCATTGATGTTACACGAGTATAGAGGGAATGATCAACCATCTATGTTTCGATTAGTATCAATGCTTGATTGTTATATCATCGATTCTATAGACCATCAATTATGGCTCCTAGAGGCCCACACGGCCACACTTAATCATGTGTCATCCTAACTTCCTTTCTCTTTATTAATTAGGTAATGACATGAAGCGAAAGCATGCATTAGCTAGTTAAATCACTACCACAAGAGGCGCATGCATGGGTAGAGAATAACCTTAGGGGATGGGATATAGTGATGCTATAGATGATTCAATGATGCATGATGTTATTTGAGCTTACCTTCTTATACAGTAACGTATCTGTACTTTAATGCATCTCTAAATTGAAAAACCCCTAATCAACTTTACAATCATTGCTTGTTAGTTGAATGAAAATCCCTAAATGCTTCTACTTTTTTGCGTGAGTCAATGATGGTATGGTGTGAATAGTTATGCATTACAAGACCTTGTACCCTAATACATCATATGATTATAACTTTGATCTTTACTTCATCAGAGATCATCATTCTTCCTTGCCTCTTTTCCAGCTAAAGCACTTCGAACACTATGTTGGACTCGAGGGGTTGTTCTTGGTGCAAAGAAACTAGGTTGAGATGTTTCACTAGTCACTCGGCGCACTACACTTGCACTATCTTGCTCCATTAAAGCAGCATTATGATCTCTTTCAGCAGGCTTTCATTTAGTGGAGGGTGCAAGTAGAGTCTTAAACCTCTCACGAACATCATGATTAACCTTCTTGCATGAAATAACATTACCCCTTTCTCTATTCAAATGCTTTTTCACTAGATAAATTCCTCCTCCATTTATCAAATTACCACACAATTTGCACTTTTTCCACACCTTTCCACACTCGGTGCGGATTTCCTCGGCGTAGTCCCAAACAAGGTCTTCCTTGGTTCGATATCCAATAGCACCAGTAGCACTACTGGAAACTGAGGACTGACTTGATGCATTGCACGATTCCATCTATCTAGTATAATCTGTAAAAGTAAAACAATTAACATAATAGAACATCATCAATTTAACATTACACTCGCCCTTCCCACCATCCATTGATATCAAAGCCAGTAAATCTGTGTTCATCTTGTCCTAGACTTATTCCTTAAGCAAAACAAGAATCAAATGGACTCATGGCTGCCGAAAATCAACTTTAAAAAATGGGCAGTAGGATGGCCGGTGGGGAAAACAGAGATCGGAGGGGCTGAGATCAGATGATTAAGGGGGTCCTCTTAGTCACATGGCTAAGTGAATCTCAACCACTCAACCTCAAATCTAAGGGCTCCTATTAATCCAATTTAATGAAGGGTACTGTAGTAATTACATGATTAATTATTTCAATTAATTAAAAAATAAAGCAGACGAATTTGCTGGCGTCGACGTCATCTTCCCCGACGCTTTTCAGGGAACTCCCCCGTCGCTTTTCACCGGCGTTGTCGTTGCAACCGGAGCTTTGCCTGGGAGATTATTCTTCCCCGGCGCTTTAATTTCCTGGGACGTTTTGTTTCCCCAAACCACTGGGACGTTTCCCCAAATCACTTTAATTCCCTGTGAGTCTGCGATGTTTATTTCCCTCCAGAGAGAGAGAGTTGATGGGAATTATTTGGCAAGGGATGGGAATTATTTGTTGGAGAGAGAGAAAGAGAGAGTATGCTTTGTACTGTTTGTTGGTTTATTTTGTAATATTTGTACGCTTTGTTATTTTGTAATGTTTGTCGGATTTTTTTTAATGTTTGTAAACTTTGTTATTTTTGTGCACCATGTTTATCATTTTTGTCAACCATGCTTGTAATTTTTTTATGTCTAAAAAACAACCTGGTTGACTTTTGGATGAAACTCCTCTATATAGGGATGGAGCCTCCAAAGTCAACCCGGGTGTTTTCCCCAGTTCGTATGGATTGTCGGACTAGTTTGTCATTTTTGTTCACCATGTTCGTAATGTTTGTATGTCTAAAAAACAACCGGGTTGACTTTGAGACGAAGCCCTCTATATAGGGATGAAGCCTCCAAAGTCAACCCGAGTGTTTTTCCAGTTTGTATGAATTTTTGGTCTAGTTTGTCATTTTTGTCCACCATGTCTGTATGTCTAAAAAACACCCGGGTTGACTTTGGGAAGGAGCCTTTCTATATAGGGATGGAGCCTCCAAAGTCAACCTGGTTGTTTTTTCTTTTTGTATGGTTTGTATTGTTTGTCGGTCTAGTTTGTATTTTTTGTACAGTTCATATGTTTGTATGTTTTGTTGCTATAGTTTGTACTGTTCGTATGTTTGTATGGTTTGTACTGATTTGTAAGTATGGTTTGTATACTTCGTAATTTTCTATAATACCCAAACTACCCCTGTCATTAATTAAATAGCGCTTCCCACTTTTTAACCATCAGATTACTATATCCAGATCTAAGGGTTGGGAGAGACTTAGTCAAGTGACTAAGCACCCCTTTAATCACTGGATCCTCTCTCAGACCGGAGTGGCCAAGTGGGCAGAGCAGTTCTATAGAAGAACGACCTCTTCTGTTGAAATTTTATGGGCCTAAGTCATTGTCTATTACTAGACTGGACTAAGTAAAGTGGGCTTATTAATAAACTAAAGCCCAATTCTGTTGGTAACTTGAGTTGGTAAGAGCAAGAACAGATTTCAACTAAATCACATGAACACTTCCTTAAAAAAAAAAAAAAAGAAATCACATGAACATATAGCTAATACATGTAGTAGTAGAAACACTTGCATAAGAAATAAAAATTTGCAATCAGACTTGATAAATTAGCA